TAAATATGGAAGGTGACAAAGAAAACCCATTAATTATAGGGAAGAGTAAAAACCCTCGATGCTTTAAAGAATATCATATCAACAAACTGCCTTTAGAATGGGTATCAAATAAAAAAAGCTTAGATGACAACAGAAATTATGACTTCGTGGATAAAAAAATTTGACAAAAAATTGAGGAAACAAAATAGAAAAGTCATATTATTTCTGGATAATGCCAGGTCCCGTCCTAAAGTGACACTAGACAACGTGAACATTGTTTTTCTGCCTCCAAACACCACTTCCTACTATCAGCCATTGGATCACGAGATTATTTATAACTTTAAGATGGCTTATAGAAAATTTTTAACCAAAAAAGGCTTCTAACATTCACAAACAGCGAAAGTTCATTTGAAGATACAGAAAAAAGCAATAATTTAACCAGCGCTTTGGTTTGGATATTAGCAGCCTGGAAAAACATTTCGTCAACTATAATTTCGAAATGTTTTGCAAAAGCAGGATTCTTGGAAAATATCCAGCAAGACGAAGATTTCGATGAGGAAGATGAAATTCCACTGGCCCAGCTTTTCCTGAATTACACGATGTAAGCCTAGAAAATTATGCATGTATTGATAGCAGTGTTTTGACCGAAAATCCTAATTTTGGCGTTCAAGAAGTAATCAAAGTCATATGGAAGAATCTGCAGTTTTTCCATCTTGGATTTCATTATTATTAATTAATCTTCTACCAGTATTACCAATATTGATCTTCATGTATCAGCGTAGGAACTAGTTATATCGAAATGTCAATATTACATTACAAATATTGTTGAAAAAAAGTTATTCATTTATAGTGATCTAATAAATTTTGTATATGAATATACAGGCTGGGGCAATAGTGCGTCGGACTTCGATATCTCGAGTTCTACGATAGCTAGAAATTACAAAAAAAATACAAGTGAACTAGATAAAAAAGTCTATAACCGGAAATTATTTTCGAATATACAGGGCGAGCCAAGACGAAATTATAGGATCAAGTGCCTTTTTTTAAATGGAATGCTATGTATATCAGTACATTCTTCTTCTTTCTATCTCCAGCCACTTGAATGTAATGAATTTTTTTATTCAAATAATGCCATCTGCAGATGCATATTGAAGAAATCACCAAAGTCACAATTATGGGTTTTATGAAAAACTTATGTGAATACTAGTTACGAGACATTTAATTAATGCTTTTGAATTATTTTTACTTCTTAAAAATGTACAGAATGGCCAAAAAATTATTTTTCAATTAAGAACTTATTAAATTGATTTTCTCAATTCTTTCAAATGGGACACCCTGTATGTTTTTCGACGATGAGATGTAGAAATGAAAAACGAACATTTTTTGTAAGTACTTCCCTATGGCTAGTTACAACCATTTTCGTTTTATTGAGCAATAAGTACAAAATTCAAGAATAAACTTAAAAAATAGAGATTTCTTCAAATAATTAATTAGAAAAAATTATAATAAGTGCTCTACATGTTGCCCATGTTGATTTATATACATCTTTATGCGCTTTTGAAATGAGGTTTCTAATGTTGCTAAAATTGCCGGTGTGATAGATCTAAAAGCAGTTATTTTCTTTCATTCATATTTTGTACTCTTGTTGGTGTGTCTTTATAAACAATTTCTTTCACGTATCCCCATAGAAAGAAATCCATTTTTGTAAGATCTAGGGAACTAGCAGGCCATTTAATGGGTCCATTTCTTCCAGTCCATTGAAATGGGTAGGTACTATTTAAGTGGTCTCTAACTGCATTTAAATAATGTGGTGGAGCACCATCTTGCTCAAACCATATCTTATTTCGAATCGTTTCAGGAAGATTCACCAATAATTGGGGCAAACAGTTTTCCAGAAAATGAAGATAAATAGCTCCAATGTACCATCAAAGAAATGTGGCCCTATTACATATTCTCCAACAATTCCTCCCCAAACGTTTACAGACCATCTGTGTTGGTTATCAACTTGCCTAAAAAAGTGAGGATTTTCCGAAGCATAATAATAGAAATTATTAACAATTCCATTTTTATGAAAAAGTTGCCTCATCAGTGAATAAATCATTACTGAAGAAAGTGACATCTTGCATTTTATCTCTGGCCCAATTACAAAACTGTAGACGCCTTTGAAAATCGTCATCAGATAGTTCCTGGTGCATTTGAATATGATATGCATGAAACTTATATGTTTTTAAGATTTGACCAACAGAGTGTCTACTTATCCCTAGTAATGAGCTCACTTCTCTCTGACATATGGGGATTCTCAACCATTGCCAGCACCACAGAAAACTCATTTTCTTCGTTCACAACACGTTTTGTTCTTTTTTTATATTCGACATTTTCAGTTTCCACAAATCTATCGAGAAGGTTTTGGAAGCTGCTAACATCAGGAATCTTTCTTTCAGGATACCTTTGCGTATAAATTCTATTGGCAAGCAAACAGTTTTTGTCTGACTCGCCTAAAACAAAGCTCATGTCTACAAGTTCCGCTCTATTAAAATTTATTTTGTAAAACTCGAAATATTTTAAATTTAATACAAATGATAACTGACGACCGATAAGTACGATAAATGTTCGTTTGTACAAGACAATTAATACTAAACTGAGATTTTATTGCTTGTCGAATAACGAAAACGGCAAAAAAATTTACAAAAAAAACTATTACAGTAAGGGACCAGTTAAATACTATTTACCCACTTCAATGGATTGAAAGAAATGGTCCTACTAAATGGCCCCACATCAAAAGCGCATAGAGACGTATGTGAATCAAAATTGGCAATATGTGGAGCATTTAATTTTTTCTAATGAATTATTTGAAGAAACCTCTATTTTTTAAGTTTATTCTCGAATGTTGTACTTATTGCTCAATTAAACGAAAATGGTTGCAATTAGTCATAGGAAAATACTTACAAAAATGTTCGTTTTTTATTTCCACATCACATCGTCGAAAATATACAGGGTGATCCATTTAAAAAAAATGAGAAAATTCAATTTAAAAAGTTCTTAATTTAAAAAAATAATTTTTGGCCACTATGTACATTTTTAGGATATAAAAATGATTCAAAAACATTAATTAGATGTCTCGTAACTAGTATTCACATAAGTTTCTGTTAAAACCCATAATTGTGACTTTGGTGATTTTTTCAATACGCATCTACAGTTATTTGAACTAAAAAATTCAGTACTTCCAAGTGGTTGGGAGATAGTGAATAGAATGAATAGAGTCTAGAAAGGGGCTTCAAAAATGTACTGACATACATAGCATTCCATTTAAAGAATAGGCACTTGATCCTGTAATTTCGTTTTGGCTCGCCCTGTATATTCGATGATAATTTCCGGTTAAAGACTTTTTTTATCTAGTTTAATTGTATTTTTTTAATTTTTAGCTATCATAGAACTCGAGATATCGAAGTCCGACGCACTATTGTCCCACCCTGTATATTTCGGTCAATATTAAATTAATTCGCAGCCAGTATTGTAACTGGTGTACTGCATTCTTTAAAAACTACTTTAATGTTCTTTCCCCTTTCTTAATAGAGACATAGCAAGAGAAAAGAAAATACATTTTTTTATATTTTTGTAAGTTAAAGCTATTGCGGTATTTATGTCTATAAAAATACGGGAATATTTTAAACAAATTGTTGGACCTCGATCAATAACCTCTAAAGAAACCAATAAAGCGCTTTTTATTATTATTATTTAAATAAATTAATGCAGACTGGAATCTAAATTGTGCAACTCATCCTCTCTGTTGGTTTTCGAAATATCAATGAGAAATAAACCATGCCTACCTTGTATACTCAATATATCTTGTGCGGTCCTTCTCCATAGTTCCAGTATAACTGGAAGAGCTTCTAATAAAAAACTTAATTTACATAATTTTGATTCGAAAGTGGTCGTTTATTTTACAAACTGTAATATATTATGTTTTAAATTAATTCCTTTAAAATAATAATCCTTGTGGAATGGAAAAACCCAAAGTAGTTTACGTCAACTTTATTATGTTTTTAAGGGTATACACTGGAGGTTTTAAAATCAAGACACGATTGAAATGGAACCTGATTGCTATTTTTATCGTGGGTTGTTAATATATAGTTTTAAAGTTATTATAAAAATCGAGATATCTTCAAATGGAAATGCCTATTTCCCACCATTTTTTATTATTTGCTTATCCGATAGTATCTGAAAATTTAAGCTAACTAAATTTTTCCGAATTTCTTTGACCTCAATAAAGAATTAAATAGGAATTACAAAGTTTTGATGTTTAGTCCTATGACGTCATCTGACTAAGTTCGCACCGTACAAGTAGACAGTGATAATAATTCGGACGGAGGTATAGGTTCCCAGTGACGGCTTTTATGCAAACACTATAATATCGTAAACACCTTGAGAGACATTCCCAAACAACAGAAAAACAGAAATGTATACATGATAGAGGAAATTTTATTTCATTTTAAAATGTTAGTACGTAAACTAGTTTTATCTGAAAACGTACTATGTTAAATAGAAACGTAATAGATTCCTTTACAGTTGCATTACACTGTACTGTGAATTTACGGAGATACTTGCGCTCTGTGTGTCAACTAAGAATAACGGGAAGAGAGAGACCATATGTAGTTTGTTATGCAATGTCACTCATAACGTCGAATCGTATGTACGAAATTGTATAGAGCCGATCGGCCTTTTTAAATCTTAACAGTCTACTGTAAATTTGTGGATGCGCGATATCCTGGAATTGCAATTTAACGCTACACGATTATATTGCAGTAGCTGTGACAAAGCACTTTCTTGGGCTTGTACACAAATATTAATAAACACGTTTCCTCAGAAAATTAATTAAATTAAACACCACAAGTAATACAACCCCCTGTATCCTTAAAGATACTTCAAGGTACCTTGTACGGGAGAGGGCTACACATTTAGATATAATGGGGACACTCCTAATATCCGAGTATACTAGTATTAATTTCTGGTTTAGAAAAATTCTAGCTCGTCGACCGGGGATCGAACCCGGGACTCTAGGATGAGAGGCAAGTAGTCTTACCACTCGACCACGAAGCCACCATAAAGCCAACCATAGAAGGAGTGTGAGCGGCTTTACTGATAATGACAGACAACGCAATTTTAACTTATATTTAGTGGAAGTGATGGTTGGATGTAACATACCGTGGTCGAAACTAGATAATGCACTTCTTAGATAATTTTTGCATAACTATTAATTAATTATTAGTGGCAAGTATAATTTTCAGGTGCCATTGGAATCGACACTAAGAAAAAAATATTTATCAGTGGAGTGTGACAATATTAGACAGAAAATTTGTTCCGAGCTTTTCATAATATAAACAGATTTTCACCGAAAGGTGCCGAAGTTTAACTCCTCAAAAATATTTAGAACAGATATTAATAATATACTTTTATGCTTTTAGTTATAGACCAGTCAAATTAAGGGTTTTTCAAAACGGTAATTTCAAACCATTCCCGACCAATACCATTCGATTCAGTATGTTTTTTGAATTCTCATGGTCAATTTTGCCGTACGTTATATGAGCAAGAATTTAATTTATATACAATTAAAGTTGTGAAAATGATGAAAATCGATGTTTCTGAATATTCAACTTCAAACGCTGCGAAAACGGCAACAGATAGAGAAAAATTGCTCAGAACATTTTTTTATAGAGCGTTAAATTCCCCTCAAAAAAGTTCACGACGGCATATCTCTACGATGAATAATTAAGGCGTTACAATGAGTTAAATATTTATTATTTTTCTGCTGTATATCAGTCAGCTGTACAAGTAACGCGCATGCGCGATCAACAAACTCGTACGCCGCGTAATGGCCGCCTGCGCAGAACATTTTAAAGTAGACTTGCTGTAAATCTTTCATAATTTTCTTATTTTTACAACGTTAGCAAATGTATTTATCACTTCTTTGGTCTAGATATAATTATTATATACTTTTATGCATACTCAAAGACCTGGAAAATTATTATTAAGTTATAATACCAAGTACTATAGTGCCCTGTGCCCGAGGGTATCTACATATACGCTCCTAGCATTCTTGAGAAGCAGGTGTTCCAAACTAGACTACTATACAGCTGACCAGTACGCAGTAGAAAAATAATAAACATTTAACTCATTGTAACGCCTTAACTATTCATCGTAGAATATGCCGTCGTGGACTTTTTTGAAGGGAATTTAACGCTCTATAAAAAAATGTTCTGAGCAATTTTTCTCTATCTGTTGTCGTTTTCGCAGCGTTTGAAGTTGAATATTTAGAAACATCGATTTTCATCATTTTCACAACTTTAATTGTTTATAAATTAAATTCTTGCTCATGTAACTTACGGCAAAATTGACCATAAGAATTAAAAAAAAACTGAATCGAATGGTATTGGTCGGGAATGGTTGGAAATTATCGTGAAAATGGGCCTGATTTTTGCTTAATTTGATTAGTCTATTAACTGGTAGTGAAGAATACTTATGTGTGTATGTTATAAAGTTCTTTACTCTTACACCATCCTTGACCTTAACGATGACGTTAGATGACAGGAGCCAATGACTCCTATCGCATCGCTGCAGGTCTGAACTAACCTTGTAAGGGGTGGGTGTGCTCCACCGGCAACCCCATTCGCAAATGCGAACGCTGCTCTGCTAAAGCTAATGTTGACCAGCGACGGCTCTGTTTCTGGTATACATTGTCACGTTACCATGTCTAATAATTTTTAATATACGTACTGTATATAATGCAGAATCATATACATTTAAGAAAGGTTCAACTTTCAATCTAGTGGGACATCTCTATTTCTATATAAAAATAATAATTTATTTTTACAACAATTTTTTATTTCTACAAAAAAATATTTCAGCATAGAACGGCAATTAAGAGAAATATAATTAATGAGGGAGTCCATTGAGGTACAAAAGAGGGCCTATCTATGGACAAATCATTCCAATTCAACACTGAGATGTTGCATCGTAGGACAGATCCACTACATGCAACATCACAGTGTCGAAAAGGAGTAGAGTAGGGGATGATTTAATATACTAATAATAACATATTATAAAAGACAAAATGACGACAAAACAAAAAAAAATCAAAAGATACAAACATACGTAAAATAGAGTGATAATAAATTATTGAATACATAGTATATTCACATTATCTGAAAAAAATATGTACATAAAAATATTTATTAAAAAAATAAACCATGAAAGGGAGTATTTTAATTCAATTTAATAATGGATCAATAATAATGTTGTGGATAATATTTCTGTCGCATGATCTAGCCAGATCCTTATTGGTTTTTATATAGGTGGTTAATATATATAATTTATTGGCATTTTTCAAGCAACCAACTAGTCAGTCAATTTTCTACTTGATGAAAACTTGGTGCTCGTTTTATTTTTTTCTCTCAATGTATGCTAAAATGAGATAGAGGTATACTCGGTGCGCACCGAGTCTCGAGTTTTTATCAAAACTCTATTACTATTATTTGTGTCTTATGCGATAGCTTAAATATAAACAGTATGAATAAAAATTAGCAAAGGAAGTGTACCTATTTTCTAAAATTAATAGTCATCAATTCATCATCATCCCTTAAATACGCAATCTAACACCCTGTTGGTGCCTATACATAAGGCGAAAAAGATCTCTAAAGGGAGTTAAATTGGCACGGTTCTTTTTCAGAATATTAAGAAATTTGCACCCTTACACCACACAAACAGAAGCTGGCACCCTGACAGTTAATCGCCCTAACGAATCAAGAAAGCTTCATAAATTTAATTTCTATAGGGTTGAATTGTCTTTAATTTTTTGTTACGTTGATTTGTTGTCACCCTTGTTTTCTGTTTCTGACATATTATAAATTCTTTCCTACTCCTTTTTCATGTTGTTTACTCCTGACTATAGTTTTCCATCTTGATTCCGCAAAATCCAACAATATGCTTCTCGGTTTATATTTGTATCCAGATATGATAAAGTCTCAATGTTAGGATTTAAACTTTTGGTCTCGGCTGCTAAGTGTTTTTCGAATCTGCTTCTTATTTTATTATCACTGAATCCTTTCGTATTGGTATTTTCACAACTTTGCGCTAACTAGAAGTTACATTTTTTATCATACTCTGTCGACTTTTGAATTTGGTCGATTAGGTATCGAGAAAATTAGTTTTGAAGGTTTAAAAATGTTAATGTGTCTTACTCAGAAGGTGTGCTATGAAATCAGTGCCATTGTCATTGACATTGAATTATTGAATTTTTGTTTTTAAAGTACTATTTGATATACAAATTTCACTGCCACTTCCCTCCCTGTGCATGAACTGAATTTAAAAAATTGCCTTTCAAATGAAGTATACAAGACCCTTTTCTTATTTAAAAATTGTGAAGGAGTATTTGTCATTCAAACGGCGTTGAAGTGGGGGGCGTGAGATTTTTATATTAGATTGTGTCGTATTAAAAACAAAAATAGACATTTTTCAGAATTTTTCTTAAAAATTGTTAATAACGCAAAAGACAAATTTATCCGTTACAATTGAGCCGAATTGTACATTACTATGTGCACATACCCAATTAATGATAGGTACGTATTTTAGTAATTATTAATGTTGTTAGGCTGATAAAAATTACTCGAACGAAGAATCTCCTTAGAATCTATTTATTTCTGCATGTTTTATGTTTTTCGAAAACCCAGCGTGTGTAAAAATAAGTAACACTAAACGATTTTCTCAACTATTCTTCCTTCGACATCATTTTTTGCCATACACTTATAAAATTTCGCCGAAGAAAATTATTTATTAGTAGTAACAAATGTACTACATTATGACTGACATCACTGATTGTTTCTAATCATGGCTAATTTGATAAAATTTTTACTAAAAATTCTTGAATTTCTAAGAAAATCGCAAATATTTCAAAAAGTTGTAACTTAAACCCCCACAACGCTTATATCAGAAAAAAAGGAATTTAATTATACAAAACTTGATGTAAAAAAAATACAGGGTGTTCCATTTGACTTAAGCAAGTTTTCGCAGTTTGAAATTTACCAATAGTAACGTCAAAAATGGAACACTTGGTATACTATTATTGAATTTCTTTAAAGTGTAGAGCGTAGCTTACCTTGTGGTCTTTCTGCATGACAAAAAGGAAATGAGTATCTTTTACACGAAGAAAGTTATAAAGGTTATAGTAAACCATTACACCTGTCAAAATTTTTTTTAATGTCAAAATCTCTGAAACGACTGGGTTTAAGCATAAGCATGTTTTTGACTCAGAATTTTATGCTTTTTTTCAAAAACCCATTTAAAATAAGCAAGTTGGCTTCGACTTCCGGTATAACCGGAAGTGCTAAATGCTTGTAATTATTTTAGTTGGATTGGCCACACTGTAGTAACTCCCCTAAATTTTAAAAATTTTCTGATGCATACTTTTCCCTATATCGATCGATGCATTTCCTGGTGAGACACCCTGTATACTTCTCTTTTCTATTGATAGTTAAATATATTATTATTGTTAACAGAAGTTCTTATATCAGATTTCATAAAAAATTAATTGTGTAATTAAACACATGTTTGACCTCAATTTTGGAAGTTATAAGTAACAGCAAATATTATCATAACGATGCTTTTTGACCTAAGATTGATAGGTAATACTGAGAAACTATGTCGTTAGACACACTGTATAAACTTACGCTTATATTAAAAATAAAACTGATAGTCATCTATATCTAATCTCGTAGTATTTTACTCTATAAAACATTATTCTGTTAAAATGAAACAAAGTGGTTAAAACACATCCATTTAAGCTTCTAATATAATTACTCACAAAACGATTAAAATCTTTACAAGCCACATCTGCCCCATAACCCAATCAGTACACTCATTTAAAAAATCAGAAAAGAACAGGTGGTTTGCGTGGGTTCAAAGCATTTTACAAAACTCAACAATAAAACATAGTTGAGCTATCCTTCATATAGGTAAACGTTTTTTGATTTCAACTGCCGAACAGGAAATCAAGTAATCACCGTCTTTGTTTACCTGCGCCCAGGACGGATTTTATTTCTCAGTCCC